TTTTACCTGCAAGTTTTGTTGTTTTTCTCATTAGTTCTATCCAGTCATTAATACTCCACTACCGCCCTACAATTCCTTGGCAAGCATCTTCACAAGACCAACATACAAGTAGCAAATCTCCTCTTACAAAGCCTCAACATCAGTGCACAGCACCACAGCTAACTTTGCACGGTGCTGAATTATCATCTCTGAACTCTGTACCAGGCTGTTCAGTAACTCTGCAAAGATATAAACCACTCTACACCCATTCAACCAGACCACCACCACCAAATGATTAATATAGCCTCACTAAATGTCAGAGGACTTAATTCTGATACCATCTTCATTCAAGAGACCCACTTCGCTCTATCTAAAACACCATTGTCACGTACCTGACCGCAGGCTGCAATAGAGAGAGGAGCAGTGCCCAAAGAAGCACGGGTTGCCAGTGGTGTTGCTGCTTGGAAATGCCTGATGAGATGGAACCTGTGGGTGCTCCAGTTGCAGGAGGAGTTTCTCCAGAGAACACGTGGATCCCGGAGGTTGGGTAGAGTAGTCAGTAGCCAGAGCCAGGATCAATATGGAACAGCAGACAAGAGCAACGTCAGGTCAAGCCGGGTCATACACAGAGTAGCAGCCGACAGGAGCAAGGTCAGGAGCAAGTTGGGATCATACACAGAGTAGCAGCAGACAGGAGCAAGCCGGGATCATACACAGAGTAGCAGCAGACAGGAGCAAGGTCAGGAGCAAGCTGGGGATCATACACAGCAGCAGACAGGAACAAGGTCAGGATCCAGCTGGGTCGGTAATGGGTAATCAGCAGTAAACTCAGGAACACAGGAACGGGAGGGGCTGACGATAATCCAGCAATCACTGAGCAGAGCTGCAGTCCTTATAAAGGCCACTTAGTGTCAGCAATTAGTGCACACTGCATGTGCTGGTGCGTTTTCGTGCACAGGAATGCATGATTACGTGTCGCCGGCCTATGTGCATGCGCACTTCTTTGCTCAAATTGGCGTGGCCATATTGCGCATTGGTGCATTTGCCAGGGCTTCCTCATCTTTTCCTCTGACAACCACCCTTCCACCTCAGAAATTTCTCAACACGGACAAATGGACACTACAATGCATCTCTTGGCTACCCACCACAAAAAAACAAACGGAGTCATGACTGCAATCAAAGACTCACTTAATTTCCAACTTCAGGCGGAATATGCTGACTCATCTGGGGCCACTTCCACATCTTGGTGGGACTGCTAGATAACAACCCCTTCACCCTGGTAAATGTATATGGCCCAAACTCAGACCAATTACGATTCTACAAACAACTCGTCACCAAATTATCCTCAATGAAACAAGGTCAATTACTAATTGGGGGAGATTTCAATGTAGTAAGCAATATACGCATGGACACCTCATCTGGCAAATGAGTCTCAAATATCAGCCTTGAACAATTTCTTCACGAGAACAACCTATACGATATTTGAAGATGTCAACACGGCTCTGAAGGGACTATTCATACTTCTCTCCTTCCCAATTGTCATACTCCAGAATAGGCTTCTTCCTCAAGAACAAATGGACACTACAATATTTCCTCATCCTCAAAAGGCTCTATAACTTGGCTTACCACACGCCAATCACCATTGAACTGACCACATCCAATAGAATGAATATTCCTAGACCGTGGAGGTTAAACTCTACTCTACTGACAGATCCTACTCATAGGAAAATTATTATGGATGCTCACACTCTCTTTTTTGAAACTAACAAAACTCCTGACGTAACCATTAGTACCCTTTGGTCTACCTATAAGGCTTTTAAGTGAGGAATACTAATTAAGATATCCTCCCAAGTTTCATCACATAGGAGACACCAGACAGAAGTGGTCTTAGCCTCCATAAAATCTAAGGAAGTAGAAAATAAAAACAACCGCTCCCAAAAGAACTCCTCTTTTCTCTAACTACTATTCTCTAAATAACAAAGCAAGGTCCCTCTTAGTCAGGTCAGTTAAGCGTCAACGTCTCAAATCGAAAATCCAGATAATCCGACACCCACGATGCAACAAACCATTATCTAATCCTTTAGATATAGTAAATGCGTTTGCAGACTTTTACAAAACTCTCTATAACCTCAAGGATGATAGAGAGACTCCTCAACCCTCATCCTCCGAGATAAACCTTTTTTTACAATCAGTTATACTCCCAGCCCTCTCTACAGAACAACTGCAAAATATTTCGGAACCCTTTAATATCAAAGAGATCAAATCAGTCATTCGATCTTTACCACTCCACAAATCTCCAGGATGTGATGGATATTCTAATGAATATTGTAAACTATTTGTCACTATCCTCTCTCCACACCTTGCTAACCTCTTCAATACACTTGCCTCCACAGGCGTCATACCTAAAGATATGTTGCAATCCACCATAACAACTATCCCAAAAATGGGAAAGGATCCCCAAAAAGTACAAAACTACAGACCCATATCTCTCATTAATACTGATATTACATTATTTGCGAAATTAATAGCCCACAGACTGCTCCCTCTCCTCCCCTCTTTAGTGCATCCAGAACAAGTTGGTTTCATACCAGGTCGACAGGCCCCGGACACCACTAGGCACCTAATTTCACTAATACATGACCTCCACGAACACCGTACACCTTCACTACTATTCTCACTTGATGCAGAGAAAGCATTTGATCAAATACACTGGGGTTTTATGCAATCAATCCTACAAAAATTTGGAATCACAGGTTGGCTACAAACAGCTATATTGTCCCTTTACTCATCTCCATCAGCCAAATTGTTGACAGATGGAATACTTTTACATCCATTCAACATCTCTAATGGAACGAGACAAGGATGCCCATTATCCCCAATCATTTTTGCACTACTAATTGAGCCTCTAGCAGCAAAAATTAAACAAGATCCCTTGATAACAGGCATAAAATCACACGACATTGAACACAAAATAAGTCTATCCGCAAATGATATAATCCTAATGATCACCAATCCAGTCAGATCCCTACACCGAATAAGGGAGCTCATAAGGGTCACATGTTGGGATAGCCCAACATGTGACCTTTGTGCACTTGGCTCTGCATTGTGGTGTCTTCCAGACCTTTATGTACTGTGTCAGTTGGTTACAGAATGTTTTTCTGGTCCAGAGCAGTATTCCAACTTCTGTTGTGACCCTTTTTTTGAAGGCTCATTTAGTGAGCAAGGCCATTTTGGCTGAAACACTGGGAGGTTACTTACAGTTTGTAACATTGGGAGCCCATGTCAAATTTATTGCTTCAATGCAGTAAGAGGTAAGGCTGAGGAAATCAAATATTGGTATCATCTGCTAGAGTGCTGTGCTTGCACCATTCAGGCTAGAGAAAGCACCATCCTTCTGCTACTCTTGCTTTCAAAGTGACACATGGATCATTCGATCTATGGTCCTGTTCCATCTCACGCATACAATGACCTGATCACCCTGGCCACCTCCAAACCTTATCAACATCAGCTGCTTGGGTTTTTGAGTTTTTGGATATATGGTTCAACATTTCTTTTCAAAGACATGCAGAAGACAGTCCCCCTTCTATGGGTGATGTCAGCCCATACTCTCCTACTGGTTCTGGGGGCATTTACCTGGCATAGGAGTAAGAAAATGGATCCTGAAATCTATAAACTTAGTTCCCTAATAATATAAGGGCATCCTCAATAGAGGTTTATTCAGCTCCATCAGACAAATATGAAGCCACCCCTGTTTCCCCTAGGACCTGTTTGATTCAATTGGACTTTTTGTCTGTTTGTGCCAAATAAGTAAAGTGGTCTAAGTTTAAAGGGACCAAGAGTATTCTGATGCTAGAGAGTCTAGCTCTGTCCATGCTAAACCTTCAACTGAAAAGTTGTCTGAGGCCTCTGTTGCTATCCAAACAGTCCAAACAGTCTGTGCTTGAACCACCTGCAGATGTCTCAGATTTACAAGGGGTTGTGTCTACCCTGGTTAAACCTCATAAAAAGGACCTTTCCATTGCCAGGGTGAAATTTATACTTTAACTGTGATAGCCTGTTGAAATCTAAGCTTATTTCTTCCATGATGCTGTTGTCCATTAAGATGAGTTGGACTCATCTGAATGGACAGCAGCCTGAGACATTGATGATTCATCAATAAATGAGATGATTTTTTTTGTCCTTCAAAGGAAGTTACCTTCATTAGAAGTGTCACTGGTGATAGGGATGTTCTCCAGCCTCTATGCAGGTCAATGGAAGGTCAGTGGAGGTGGTTGAACAATAGCCAGCTACATAGTCATGGCCTTCTAGCCACCAAGTTGTAGGGCTCAAAATAAGAGATCCTTTAACTCTATTAGTAAGCATGAAGGTGTTCCACAGGTGGAGGTTCTTTGTTCTTCCTGATGGGGCTCTGGGAAGTATACTTCCTTGGCGTTTGGGTGATATAGTACCTCTTGTAACCTACACCCTTAAACTGGATATTTCCTGCACCATTTCACCATTATGTTTTAACTGCATACAATTCTCTGTTTTCACAATTTGGTCTTGGTTACCCACACCTCAAGACCTTCAAATCCCTCCATTTTAGGAATTTCTTCCAAAGAATGATAACCCACTGCAACTCCTATAGACAGGAGAACCTTTTCTCTTCAGATATGGTTTCACTTTCTATGGCACTTGATATTCCTCAGCTCTATCCCTCTCCTGAGGAAACAAGGAATCTCTTGACCTACAAGCTTGCCAGGGGTCAGTCCCCATTGCTCCATTTCCTGGTAAGAACTTGACCCTTTAGCATTCTCCAGCAGCTCTGGACCTTGCTCAAAACAATGGGCTAATGGTTCATCCTGGTATCTGTATCTCGCATCTCTGTTGTAAAATGCTCTGTAGATCTTCCTTAACCACCTTCCGCCTGCCATATAGTACAATGACGGGCGCAAGGTGGTTCTCTCGTTCTGATAGGACGTCATATGACGTCTTTCCATTCTCCCTGCGCATGTGCGGCTCAGGGAGCGAGCAGCACGGCGATCGCCGGTGCGCTGTGTCCCTTGGACACAGCGGATCATGGAAAGAGCCGAAGATGTCGGCTCGGTCATGTGATCAGCTGTGTCCAATCACAGCTGATCACATGTAAACAGGGAAATTCCAGTTATCGGCATTTCTCTCCTCTCGAGCTGTCACACTGACAGCTCGAGAGGAGAGGAGAGCCGGTAATCGGCTTTCCGTGGAGGGGACATGTACACTGATCATCAGGGCATTGATGATCAGTGTGCCCTGATGATCAGTGTGGCCCCAGAAGTGCCACCTGTCAGTGTCCATCAGTGCCAGCAGTCAGTGCTCATCAGTGCCACATCAATGCCACATATCAGTGCATACCAGTGCACATCAATGCCACATATCAGTGCCCATCTGAGCTGCCTTTCAATGTCACCCATCAGTGCCAGTCAGTGCCACCTATCAGTGCTGCCAATAAGTGCCACCTATCAGTGCCAATCAGTGTCGCCTATCAGTGCGCATCAGTGCCGCCTATCAGTGCCAGTCAGTGCTGCCTATTAGTGCCACCTAACAGTGCCAGTCAGTGCTGCCTATCAGTGTGCCATATATCAGTGTCATGTATCAGTGCTGACTTTCAGTGCCCATCAGTGATGCCTGTCAATGCCCATCAGTGCAACCTACCAGTGCTTCCTTATCAGTGCCCATCAGTGCCACCTATCAGTGTCCATCAGTGCAGCCTATCAGTGCCCATCACTGCAGCCTCATTACTGCACATCAGTGAAGGAGAAAAATCACTTATTTACAAAATTGTATAACAAAACTAAGAAAAAAACATTTTTTTTTTCAAAATTTTCAGTGGTTTTTGGTTTGTTTAAGAAAAAATAAAAATCCCAGAGGTGATTAAATACCACCAAAAGAAAAAGCTCTATCTGTCTAAAAAAATGATAAAAATTTCATATGGGTACAGTGTTGCATGACCGCGCAATTGTCATTCAAAGTGTGACAGCGCTGAAAGCTGGAAATTGGCCTGGGCAGGAAGGGGGTATAAGTGCCCTGTGGGCTAGTGGTTAAAGAGAGTCATTTTCCCAGATTCTTGGAGTTCAAACAATACTTAAAATCCTGTCATATTCAAACATCATCTAGCCAGGAGTCTATCAAATGCGTCCATGTGTTACCACCGGGAAGGTCAGGCAGTTCTATTCAACTCAAGCTCATTAAGAGATCCCACTCCTTATGGACCTTTAAATAAAAACACCAGTCCATCCAGTTCATCATGTGTGTGTCGCTAGTATTTTCAATATCCCTGTACATTGTGTTGGCTAAGAAAGACATTTTTTTAAATTTATCTACCTTCTCTGCTGACACCACCAACTGTGGAAGAGAGTTCCACATCCTTACTCCAACAGTTAAGAACCCCTTATGCAATTTAGGATTAAACCACTTCTCATCCAACTTCATTGTGTTGCCATATGTTTTCTTTAAAAACCTAAGATTTAAAGGATACATTCACCTTTTGGGATTATGCTACATGTTCTACCTGTTTTTAGGGTGGAACATGTAACATATTCCCAGCTAGCTGCAGCTGCCTCCCTCTGTCCCCCCCTCCCTCATGCAGATAGTACGGGGAGAGATCTCTCCCCGTACTATCTGTCAAATTTGAAAACAGCGCGGCCGTGTAGGGCTATGCCCACATGGCCGAATCATTCATTCACAGACTTTTGTGAATGAATGAACTGCAAGTCCTGACATCCTTAGCGGCTGTGGGCTTGTAGTTTTCAGTGAACTACCACAGCGCTGTGGAGCACCATGGTAGTTCATTGAAGCTTCCTGTCAGAATATCTTGCTTGTGCATCCCGTATGGCAAGCGGAATATTCTGACAGATCTGTAGGAGACCTGCATGGCATCAGTGATCTACTGATAACTGGTGCAATGCTTTCCAGGCAATTGTGTACAAAAATAATAAATGTACATTTATTATTTTTGTCTAAAAGGTGAACTTATCCTTTAAATAGTTTTCTCCCAATGCTGGAGTCATCTTTTAAAGATTTGTGTATTATTATCATATCTTGAGTAAATAGTATTTTTAATGCATGCTAATAGTCTGCTGGCCTTGCTGTCTGTAGTTTCCAGTTATATATCTCAACCCTTTTTTGGATATTGGTACCACATTTGTTTCATGCCAATCAACTAGTACCATTCCAGTAAGCTTTCCTTAAAAATTGGGAACAATGGTCTGGTTATAACATGGCTGGCTTCCTTAAAAGACTGTTGTTTGTAAGCTCACATTAAGTTCTTCTAATCTTTTTTGAACACTGGTCTCTCTCAGCAACAAGAGTTCATTTAATATAATATTATTAGCATTACTGTCTTGTCTATTATACTCCTCCTTTAAATTCATATAAACCATGGAGAATAATTAATTTAACTACTTCCCCTCCGCCCTATAGCAGAAATACTGCTGCAAGGCGGCACGGGTGTGCAAAATCACGAATATACTATCTATATATATATATATATATATATATATATATATACATACATACATACATACATACATACATATGCACATTTGATTTTTTTTAAAAAAATTTACTGGACATGTTTAATAGCAAAAAGTCAAAACTATTGTTTTTTTTTCAAAATTGTCGGGCATTTTTTTGTTTATAAAGAAAAAAATAAAAAATGCACAGGTGATCAAATACCACCGAAAGAAAGCTCTATTTGTGGGAAAAAAGGACATAAAATTAATTTGGATGCAGCGTTGCATGAGCGAGCAATTGTCAGTTAAAGTAACGCAGCGCTGTAATGCAAAAAATGGCCTGGTCAGGAAGGGGGTAAATCCTAAGGAGGACAAGTGGTTAATACAGCTGCCTTTTCCCTGTCACTAGTGATGAACTTCCCCTGACAATCTTTTATTATGGGCCATTATGTTCCAACCTTGCTTTTTTATTATTATTATATTCGAAAAAAACTTTTTGGTTTTTTTTTTTGGTTTTTTTTTTTACTCTCCTCTGCAATGTGTCTCCCATAATCTATTTTAGCTGCCCCGATCGTACTTCTGCTTTTCTTATTGAATTCTTCCAAATTTTGAAATGTCAATTCTGACCCCTCTGCCTTATATTTTATAACCACTTGACCTCTGGAAAATTTTACCCCCTTCATGACCAGGCCATTTTTCGCAATGCGGCACTGAACTACTTTAACTGACAATTTTTGGTCAAACACTGTACACAAATTACATTTACCGGTATATCATTGTTTTCACACAAATCTAGCTTTCATTTGGTGGTATTTGATCCCCACTGTTTTTTTTTATTTTATACTCTATGAATGAAAAAAGACTGCAAATTTTGAAAAAAAAAAAAACAATATACAGTTTTCGCTATAAAACATCCAATTAAAAAAAATATATTCATAAATTTAGGCCAAAATGTATTCTGCTACATATCTTTAGTTAAAAAAAAAATTCCCAATATGTGTATATTAATTGGTTTATGTGAAATGTATAGCATCTACAAATGAAGCTATATATACTGTAATTTTTTTTTTATACTAGTAAAGGTGGTGATCAGCGACTTGTAGCTGTGATAGTGGGGTGGGCACTGACCAACTGACACTGACATTACCAGTGACCCCAATACAGTGATCAGTGCTAATAATTTGCACTGTCACTGTACTAATGACACTGGGTAGGAAAGGGTTACCATGTGGCGCAATCAAAGGGTTAACCGTGTGCCTAGCAAGTGTTACTGTGTTAACCGTGTGTTGTTTTCACTAGAGGATGTGACGGTATTTATTCCTTGTTTTGCAGGGAGACAAAACCCAGAACATCCCTGCTGTCAGCAGAGAGATTTGTGTTGTTTTACGAACACAGATATCTCTTCTGTCATCCTCTCTGCCAATTGGCAGGTCCCGGTCCTAAATAACTGGCTGGGACATGCTAATCGGCATCTATGGGAGCCAGTGAGAGCACAGCCAGTGTGCGTGTGGCCCCCTACCTGCAAATAAACGATCACATATATATGTGATTCTGCGCATCTGACCTGCACTGTAGCAGTAAAACTAGATTACATTTTTTTTTTTTATTTATATGCCTTTTTGTTGCCCATTGGAATGCACTGTCAAATGCCATTGTTTAAAATTACTCCAACTTCTCTTCAGTCTTTTTTGTTTCAAGAATTTGATCACATTTAGTATCATGTGGTATGGTGTGCTGCTTAGCTAAGTTGGCTGTTCTGAAATTTAGTGTCTTATCCTTCCTTCTTTTTTCCCTTTTCTATAATTTATGGCAAACATAAATTATAAAATAGTGTACCATTTGCCTATATGTACTGGTCCTGAATACTTTAGTTGCTCTATCCTCTGATTTTAGGCCCTCTTTCCCCCAACTTTGCCTACATCTGCATTTGGTGGTAAACTCTGACCCTTGCTTGCTGCTTGGTATGCCTTTCACTGATTCCCCCACCACACACATCTTCATTTAAAAAGTTCCTCCAACCTTATGGCCTTCCTCTCCTCCAAGAGATTGCCCCCTCCTCATTTATATGCAGTTCATCTCAGCTATAGAGCAGTTAACCAACTGAAAAGTGGGAGATCAGTTGGCTTTGTGCATGAACCCAAAAAGACCCTCCTTCTTATGCCAGTTTCTCAGCCATTTACCTCTCTAAGCTCCTGCTACATCTCCCTGGTGTTGCTTGAGGTACATGCAGTTTTTCTGAGCATACTAACTTGGAGGTCATTTTCTTTAATACAGGACCTAATCCCTGAAATCATTTTTAAGGACGCTTCATATTCCACTAATATTTTAATTTGTACCAGTGTGTACCAAGATAGCTGAATAATTCCCAGCCTCACCGAAAAATCTATGCATTAGATCTCCAATGTGTCAAACCAGAGTTCGACACTCAACATACTGTTCAGAGATCATGGTCCTGGTGACAGTTTGCTCTATCTGTCCTTTGTGTTTGGGAGTCCTGTCTCTGGGCAAGACACTAAGATGGTCTCTTTAAACCAAGAGGTTCTGGATGCTTATTACGGGTCTCTGGTGGGGGATGGGATGTTTCCTTACCTCTTCCCTGGAACAACCCCTAATGGATGTATTCTCCTATCATGGCCATCAGTCTGGTTGTCTGAAACAAAAGTTCTGTTCTGTGGATTGGTGTTTTGCTAGAGCTAATTGAATCAAGCTTTATTGTTTTTTTTTTTTACCTTCCTCTGGATCATCTGTGGGTATAGGATTGTGTATATAGAATTGTATATATTTTTTCTCTTTTAATGTTCAAACTAGATGTTTGTGTGCCTTTTTTACAACCAGATTAACTATGTAACTATGACCTGACCTTCACTGGACTTCACCTGGGTGCGGCAGACCATTTAGCAATGGAAAGGTAAGGGAAGTCTCCCTGTGACAGGCTGACTGGCCTATTTCTTATGCTAGACAGTGCTAAGCAAATCATTTATTACAGCACTTTTTTCTCCAGGGTGTTTAAGGATCTCCTCAATGAATAACATTCAGATTGAATGA